CTGCAACACACTAGCAGTCGCTGTCTGCACAACACTAGCAGTCACTGTCTGCACAACAATAGCAGTCACTAAACATAATCCAGAAGACGTTGTGGTGGGCGTCGCTCTCTAGAAGATCGTCGCAGTACGGGCTCTCCGTCGCTTTCCTGGCCATTCATCGGTGAACTCTGTTCCACCTGTGGCGCTTGAAATTCTGGTTGCGCGCTGACCGGTGACTGGGGAGGTGTGCCCACTGGCAACGTGATGGGAGTCGACCCAGACGTGCCAGATAACTCTGTGTTGTCGTACCAAGGAGAACTCTGCAGCAAAGAGTCTTGGTTCGGCCATGACTCCCTGGGCACTGCCGATAATTTCGACCCATTCCACGTCCGTCCGTCTTCTAGAAGAAACGACCAACGCCCAACGCGCTTGAGGACCTTCAGCGGTGGTCTGAAAGTGGGGTACCCTTTGGGCCATGAACTTGTCTTCGCACTCTCACATAGTGACCCACCTGCAGTCTTGGGTAGTAACGCGTTACTAGTAACGAGTTACTGTAACTTCGTTACTTTTTTGGTAACTTGTAACTGTAACGAGTTACCTTTTGAAAATTTAACTTGTAACTGTAGTTCTATTACTTTTTTTTGAGGTAACTATGAAAGTAACGACGTTACTTTTGCCTTTACTTTTCAGTTGTTTGTGAATGATATATCATTGAACGAGCACAATCTAGCTATTCCTTGCACTTTCCAAACTGCCTGTTCCGTCGTTTTGAGTGTTAAGTTGGCCTTGCACAAACTTGTAAATGCGTTCTTTCTCGCGATTCATGAACCGAAAATAGCCACGTGTAGATGTGATGAAAAAAAAACTTAGTTATATTTATGCACGCTCTTGTACTTTGTGACTGAACACTTACATCTTAGTCTTGAAACACTATGTTGCGGCTGTTCTTTTTTTTTTTTTTTTTGCGCAAACACTTTTAATCGGGTGAGTCAACCGTGAAATAGCAACGCACACAGAGGGCATTGCGAATGTGTTGTATTTTGATTATCGCCACTAATCCGCACTGCGCATGTATGTTGTTATGATTTGCACCACTACTCCGAAATGATGTCAGCAGTCGAGGCAAAATTTACTGCTGTTTGCGCGGGGTTTGCTCGTTGCTCTTGTTGGGCGGGCTTCGTTCAGCAAAGGCAGGGACGTGTTCGCCATCAAACGAGGGAAACTTTCAGTCACTAATTTCGAGAAGCAACTGCTGCTATGATACAATATGAAGTAAAGAAACGAATTCTTAATTTTATGCAAAAAAACTTGGTGAGCGGCGTTTTCTAGTTTTTCTAAATTTTTCCTGTCCTAGAAAAGTAACTGAGAAGTAACATCGTTACTTTTTAAAAGTAACTGTAACTGTAACGAGTTACTCGTTTGTTACGGTAACTGTAACGGTAACTTCGCTACTTTTTCTGAAAGTAACTGTAACTGTAACGAATTACTTTTTAAAAGTAACTTACCCAAGACTGCCCACCTGGAAGCTCGGGGCCTTAGCAGCGCCAAGCCGGTCGGCATATGCCTTACTCTTGGCCTGTTGGTCTCTCACTCTTTTCCGAAGGCGACGCATCTCCCGGGCAGGGTTGGAGTGGAGCTCAGCAGTGGGAAGGCCAACGACGTCAAGTGCTGTCCTCATGGGGCGTCCGTGGAGCAGCACAGCAGGAGCCAACCCGGTGGTGGAGTGTGGTGTAGCCCTGTAGATACCCAGATACTCGACGACGGTAGGCTTGAGCGGACGTTGTTCCAGCAGCACCAACTGGATATACAACTTTAGCACCCTGTTGAACCTCTTTACCAGGCCGTTTGCCTGGGGGTGGTAGACTGACGAGAACGAGTGCTTTATTCCTCTTGCTTCGAGGAACGTCTCAAACTCTCTCGATGTGAACCGTCGGCCATGGTCGGAGACGATCTCTGTTGGGTAGCCTTCTCGTGCGAAGACGGTAGGCAGGAAATTCATGACTGTCTGAGATGTGATGTCGCTGCAGAAGGTGACCTCCGGCCATTTTGAGTAATAGTCCACAACTGAGATGGCGAACCGGCAGTTCGCTGGCGCTTGCTCGAAGGGGCCTACGATGTCGATGGCGACCTTGCTCCAAGGTCTTTCGGGCAGAGGCACTGGCTGGAGCGGTTTTGACGCTGTCTTGACACTCTGCTCAGCAGACTGGCAGACTGTACAGCTGCGAATGGTGCCTTCGACTTGCTTGTCTAATCCAGGCCACCAGAACTTCTCTCGAAGGCGCCACTTTGTCTTTACACTCCCAGGGTGCGACTCGTGCGCATTCTGGACGAACGTCGCCGTTAGCTTGGCCGGATTTACGAAGCGTTCAGAGCGCAGAAGCAGACCGTCGATCACCGACAACTCGCTGCGGACCTCATAGTATGGGACCAGGTCTGTAGTCAGGTTCTTCCGAGCAGGCCACGCCGTCTGGAGACTGTGCATGACGTTTTGTAACGTGCCATCCGCCTCCGTGGCACGTTGCAGGTCTTCCCGATGCACAACGGATGTCACCAGGGCCACGACCTCTTCGGTTTGCTCTCCCCCTTCAGTGCCTGGCACTGGTAGTCGAGAAAGAGCATCTGCCACTTTGTTGTCGGAGCCTTGACGATACTCAACATTGAAGTTGTAGCAGAGCAACCGTGCTGTCCACCGTGCGATGCGAAGAGGACGCTGTCCCGTGCTTCGTGCAGAGAGCAGGGCCACTAAGGCCTGGTGATCCGTGAGAAGAGTGAACGGCCGTCTCCACAAGTATGTGTGCCACCTCTCGCAGGCCCACAAACAGGCCAAGGCCTCTCGCTCACCTGACGAGTACTTCCGCTCGGCTGTGGTCAAAGTCCGTGACGCGAAGGCAACAGTACGAGTACGAGGCCCGTCGACCTGCTGTGGGACGGCACCCAGGCCATATGCAGAAACGTCTGTGGCAACTACGACAAGGAGCGCTGGGTCGAACCTACTCAGCACTTGGTGTGAGGCGAGGAGTCTCTTCACCCTGGTGAGGCTAGCGTCCGCTGCGGCATACCAGACGAAAGGAACACCTTTCCGCAGTAGTCGGTGCATCGGCTCTACCTCCTCGGCCAACCTGGGGACGAACCTGGCGTAATACTCAACAAGGCTCAAGAAAGAACGCAGCATGCCAGGCTCAGATGGGACGGCTGCATGGGCGATCGCGTCGACCTTGGCCTGAAGGGGTGCTATGCCTTCAGCGCTGACACGATGTCCGAGAAACGAGAGCTCAGATGAGCTGAAAACGCACTTCTCATTGAGCTTGAGTCCGGCCTTGGAGATCCGATGAAGCACTTCGCGGAGGTTCTCGGTGTGCTCTTGCAGAGTCTTCCCGAAGACTATTATATCGTCTATGTAGCGTCATCAGCTGCTGGAACGCAGCTGGGGCCGATGCAAGTCCAAAGCAGATTCTCTTGAAACGGAAGCGCCCCTCATGGGTTATAAATGCCGTGAGGTGTCTACTGTCTGGGTGAAGCAGGACTTGGTGATATGCAGCTGCCAGATCCAGTTTGGAGAAGTGACGGGCTCCACTGAGGGCGTGCAGCAGTTCTTCCGTATGCGGCAAGGGAAAGTTGTCGACGACTACTGCCTTGTTGGGTTCCCTGAGGTTGACGCAAAGACAGATGCTGCCGTCTTTCTGGCGGACGACGACGACTGGGGAGACCCATTCGGATGCGCTGATTCTTTCGATGATGTCGGCAGCTTCAAGACGCTTTAGCTCGTCGGTGACTTGCCGCCGCAGAGTAAGCGGTAGACGCCTCAACTTCAGCGCGACTGGAACAACAGACTGCTTGATCTTGACGTTGTGCTGCACTCCCTTGGCAAGTCCCAAACCCGGTGAGAAAAGGTGACCAAACTCTGTCGAGAGGGACGCTGGTAGACCAGGGCTTGGAGCAAGCAGGGTCGGCTCCACGGTGCCTGAAGGACAACTGGAAGGTGTGGAGGCAAGCGTGGCAGCTCTCGGTTCTGCAGTGGTGTACAAACAGCGAAGTTCGGCGCCCAAAATCTGAAGACCCAGAACTTTTACGGCGTCCAGGCCTAGGAGCGATGTTCCACTGGGCGTGACGTAGAAGGTCAGCAGGGCCTCATCTTTCTTGTGTGCGACACGTGCACAGAAGGAGCCACACACAGGAATCTTCCGCCGTGAAAAGTCCAGCAGGGTAACTCGCGGGCTGCTCAGCTGTACTTTGTTCTGGAACAGGCTCCGGAAATGCTCCTCCCCAATGATGGAGACAGCAGAGCCGGTGTCAATGAGGAACGTGACGACACACGGCGGCGACGTCGAAGCAAGTGGCGTCACGCGGACGTCGACGTAGACTCCTGTACGCATGTCGGTGTGAACGGAAAGAATGCTGAAAACGCTCGCCGCATCCTCGTCCGGCACCACTTCATGAACTCGAGCTGAACTTCTCCCTCGGTTGTGACAGGCGCGTCGACAGACTTTCTGGAAATGGCCGCGGCGTCCGCATCCGAAGGAGGTACGGCCACGTGCGAGGCAGCGAGACAAGTCGCACGTTGATGTGCCGCAGTTTCCACATGCAGCGGAACCGTTGGGGCCGGAGTACGGAACGACGCTGCCGGAGTTTCGTGACGCTGGCGTGCGTGCAGGGCGCGTGCACGGCGAACCGCGTTAACGGCTGTCAGAACGACGGCTCCCTCGACCGTTGCGTCTGTATAACTTCCGCCCCCGTGAAGCTTGCGACGTGACGCGACGGACAGGGTTTGCGAGGGCTTCAGACTCACGTGCAGCCTGCTCGCCAAGCTGCGCAATTTCCACTGCGCGGTCGAAAGTCAGCGTGTCTCCTTCGAGGAGCAGTCTCTCACGCAGACGCGGGCACGTGACGCCGGCGACGAACTGGTCGCACATGTTTTCGTCGGCTTGAGCGGCGAAGTTGCAGGACGCTGACAGTTCGCGGAGCGCAAGGGCAAAGTCCGCTGCTGGCTCACCGGAAAGTTGACGACGCTCGCGGAACCGTTGTCATTCCACCCAGACGTTGCAGCGGGCAGCGAAGTGACGTGTTAGGGTTAGGATGGCGGCGTCGTACGGGTTTGGCTTGTCTGGCCTGCTGCTCTTTCCTGCCTCGTCGGCTGTTGCGGCGGCGGCTGGCGAGTTCGGCGTCGGCTGCGGAAGCGCGTCAAAAATGCGCTGTCCTTCTGGTCCCAGGCGGTGCAGGAGCAGGGCTTGCCGACGTGCCGGGGGCAGCTCGTTGGCGCCGGAGGCGAGCAAAAAGTTCTCGAAAAGTCGTAACCAGCGGGACCATGGCACAGCTGGCGTGCCGGGCGTGGCGAGGAACGGTGGCGGAGGCGCAAATCCCGTGACGTTCATCCTCGTCGCCAGTTGTAGTGTTCCGGGCCGGACGGCCGCGGAAGGGGAGAAACCCAGACAAGAACCAGACTGTGTGCCGATCCGGAAGAGGATGAATTTTAACTTGTCTCGTGCCGTGCTGTACATAGACAAGGTGGTGGCGCCATCTCATGGAAGGCGCTACAACTACGACTTGTCACAGGGTGTCGCTGTACCACACTACACAATCTATGCAGTGAACATAAGTAAACAATAACGCAACTTTATTTCAGATCCACCACCGGAGTGCCCATCAAAACCAGCTGCTTCAGGAGCCAGAGGAAAGCTAAAGTAGAAAACCTGGGAGTAGAAATATTGCGGTTAGAAAAAATGTGATTGTATAGCTTAAACGATGCCGACGGAATTTTGCAGTGGAAACTTTTTTCAGTTGGGCTGTTCTACTGGTTCTTTTTAAACAGCCTTCTGTTAAGACTCAGGTGTGTCTCTCTGTTCCTATTTGTATTGTTACAAGCTCTTGAAACGACCTTAATAAAGTCAACTTTTTTGTGCATCCCATGTGCACGTCTGTTTTACTCTCCAGTGTTATTCTCAACAACACATCGTTCATTCATTCATTCCATACTTTAGGTTGTGGCAGACAAATATGCTGTGTGATGTATTCTATGGCATGTTGTGCCCTTTGCGGTTCTGATCCGGTGCGTTCTATGCTCATAGACAAAGTTACGAGGTAATGTGGTCAAATCACTTGAAGAGCAGCTCTAACAGAACGTTGCGGAGACGAGCAAAGCAAATCGTTCTCGGAGGCCCGATACCGCCCCGGGAGCGCGCTTGAAAACATGTTGAGAAGTTGCAGCACGAGCTCCCGATACAGGCATTAAAGACACTAAGTACTTATCTCCGTGCTAGCAAGAGCAACCATGCAATGCCGATGTGGTGAACGTAAAACAATGTTCTATGGAATTCCATGTATTGTCGTGACGTGCGAGCACTCCTTGCGTTCGTTCTTTTTTTTTTTCTCCTTTTTTGTGCGAGTGCTTGTGCGGGCGAGGTATTATCCGAAGCTAAGTGCCCATACCTACTAGGCAACTTCACACAACTTGTGATTGGACACGACAACGCAACGTTGTCAGAAATCAACTCTGAATACTGGTCAGGAGTCGCCCGCAGCTACGGGATCCATCGCATGATTACTCGTGCAGTTTAAACGCATTTCGAAACGATGTCGCGTGGACAGGGGTAATCCTCTATAGATTATTTTTGTTTGTGCTAACTTTGCACTCCGAAGCGGTGAACACGCGCTCGAAGCTTCGAAAAGCGTTGAGGCAGCAGCGGACCGGCCATATGTGATCGTCGCTCACTCCGCGGGATCTGCATGACCCGATTTCTTCGAATACTGGTGTTTTTAACGTAAGAAAAAAAAAAAGACTCACCTTGTGTTGATTTTCATCTTTTGGCCCTCTTTGGGTATATTAAGGGACGCAGGAATAGGTTGGCATGTCAAACGCTGTCACCACTGTCAAACGCAGCGGAATGGTTCGGGTTCAACCGTCCTCCTCCATGCTTGACGACGCAGCAATGGCGGATTTCGTCAAGTTCGCGCCCCCGACACGAGAGGCGCTGACTTTCGTAAAAGGTCTATTACCAAAGCAAAAAAATATTAGACTGAGGAAGACCTCGTGCACATGATTCGAGAGCAGCGTGACCTATAATAAAGACTTTGACTGCCGCTGGGAGCTTGCATAACCTAGGAAAGGTAGCGTAAATTGTAGTCACGATTCTATTCCTTCTTACTTGGCACGTAAGTATAGGGTCTAGTAAAACCTTTTAAAGAAGAAATTTTTAAATTAAAAAAAAAATATTCCCTAGGAAAATGAGAGGCCAACGCTATACAAATAGATCACACTATTCTTATTGACAAAAAAGGACGTGCAATGTTAAACACACGTTCTTAATATGAACTGTGTCAATGTGCACAGTCTACAGATTGTTCAGGAGCAATATTTTTAGCCGATCTTTGAGTTTTCGTTCAATTGAAATAAAAGCCCAGTATTCTGCTTCTAGGTATTTACAGTCTAAGGGTCCTCGCACAAACAACTTCCCTCTTTTTACTTTAGCAGAGCGAACACCGGAGAGGACGCGAGTGAAAAGCAGCAAACCATCAAACTAAAGGAACAGAAATCTTTGTGGAAGGATCTTGTCCTTGTATTTCAAATCTGAAAAAGGCTACAGTGAGCAACGAAAGTGCTATTTTGAGCTGTGCTGCATGGTTCATCCCATGGTTCGGTCTCACCCTCAGATTTGTGGCAGGTACATCGTCAAAGTCAATGCCACTCGTTTTCTCAATTGTCACCACGTCTCCCACAATGCGGGCACAGTTTACAACGATGCTGATTTTCTTTTTTTGGTCAGGAAAAGACGCCTCAACCTCTCCAAACAGAGCGCTGACAGCGGTCGAGTTGGAGGCGTCCACGTGAATGGCTAGATGATCTCCGTTGTACGAAGCAGTAAAAATAAGCAACATCTGGGCCGATCGAAGAACCATTGGTGTGCGGCACTATGAGTTGGCCTTACAGTGGCAGACCAGTGCGAAAGAACAGCCGTGCGGGGATTAACGCCGGATACGTTAAGTCGTTAAAAAAAAAAGTTTTAATCGACTGCTATAGTGTTTATTTTCGAAATGTAAACATAGTGTAATGCCAGAAGCGCCCGATGCATCATAATATTAATTTCAGTTAGCATTAAACTGAGCCGGTTTACATTGCATCGAAATGTAAAAGCTTAGTTTAAGGCCATCATTATTTTCATTTGCAATTGAAGAAAAGCATTTGTACTGATCATTTAAATGGGACGCGTTAACTGTGTGAATGTCATTTATACCACAAATAAAATATTAATGGTGTTACACTGATCAAATTGCTTAAAGTTAAACAATATTTCTTATATCCAGGACATGCCACAGTAGACATGTCCGTGCCGTAAGTGGTTCCTTAGGAGGCAACACATATAGAAGAATCTGGAGTCGGGCAAGTTGGTACATCTTAGATTCGAAAAGCGCCAGAAAACAAGGACAACAAAAGGAATAGACAAAACGAGGCGCATCGTTTTGTCTATTCCTTCTGTTGTCCTTGTTTTGCGACGCTTTCCGAAGGCAACAGAAATGCTGGGAATATATATGCAGCGATTGATCAGTTTTCTCTGAAATCACTTGTCCACTTGTCCCTTTCAAGATTGCACTTTCAATATGAGCAATCTTGAAAGGAGTGTGGGAGAGAAGACCCAAGGTTCGCAAAAGGGCCACGAAGATTGTTTTTACTATTCTCCTCAAAATGTATGAATTTATCTTTAAAACAACAAACAAAAAAAAAAAAAAGAAAAATGCACCAGGTTTTCACTGTGACTGACAGAATGATTGCCGGACGTCTCTTTCGGATTCCCGGTTTGAATCATGTGCATGTTGCCTTCAGCAGTAATTTGACTGTGCCACTCACCCTAGAAGAGGGACATCTAAAATACCACCCTGACTCTCTCATCTTTTTAGTGTCTTTAGCATTGGCAGAAAAAACGTAGAGAAGAAATATAATCTCCTAAGTTCGCTGCTGGTCACTTTTCAACTCCGCCCAGCGCTTGAACGCTGAGCATGGGCTGGACACTTGGTGCTGCACCCGCTCTTTGTTATTCTTCGAAAATTAAATTTTATGGGAATTCCCAGAATATTTTACTATGAAGAATGGAAACAAGTGTCCGAACGAAAATAGAACAAAATTGGAGCTTGCGAAAATTGCTTGATACTTATATAAACATGTGACAAAAGCTAGTCAAATAATCGCCTGTAAATTGCAAATATATATTATCGAAAAGCGTGTTTGCAATTTTTAGTCTAAAGACCCGCCAGTGGCTGATTTAAACCAATGGAGTGGAGCCAGTGTAACGTGATCTGAATTTTCTGTGCGTTTTGGGCTGTTTACCACACCGGCATCGCGATCTTAGCACTATCTTCTATGATCTTAGCCATCTGATAGTTTATATTGACTACTTGGAATCTAGCAACGTACTTCTGCAGTTTTTTTTTGCTGCCTGCGTTTCGGCCGATGGTAATACATATATAAATATAAAACATCAACACCCAGAGCTTCCGGTGCGCGTTGATCATAAAGCTACTTTTGTACCTCAACAAGCATCGACAAACAGCACCCAAAGGAACAAATATGCTCACGCCATTCTACTTTGACTGCTTTAGAAACCCAAAGGCACTGCAAATCTTCAGCACATAAATATTGATTCGCAGCTTGAAATATAAAACATAGGCAAACGCGCAGCCACATCCGTTCCACAGGTTCGTTTATGCTCATCAACAGTTTAGCAACGCTAGAAAACCTGCGAGTTTACTTTTTTGCTAAACGCCAAAACTGCCAATCACGGCGAACAATATCTGGATCCCAAGCAATGAAGAACCTTAATATACGAATCTGAAAAATGAGATCTGCGCAAAGACAGTGGGGAAACGTCTGGCTCGTTATTCCTGAGCGCATCAGATCTTTTTGTTCGCACTGTATTCTGAACTTCGTCAATCACTGGTGTCCTGCCTTTGAAGTCAGTGATTGTGTTTTTTGCAGCGTTGTCCAGAAAAGTTAACTCCCTTACTTTTTTCAAAGGGTATACAGGACGGACCCCCCCCCCCCCCCCCCCAAATGTACAAAGTATTAAGGTGCACAGTTAGGCGAGTATGCACTGATTAGGCATGATAAAAGATGCGCACAAAAAGAGAGGAACAAGGAAGAAACATGTAAACGACAAGCGCACAGCTTGTCAACTTGTTCTGAACGGCTTCAGCTGAGCGACAGCTTGAGTCCAGCGGACCAGTGCGCTTGTCTATTTTCCACGTGTTTCTATTTTCTGTCCCAGTCTTTTGTGTGCACATTAACCACATGTACAAAGCACTTTTCTGACCACAAAATCAGCGGTTGCCAAACATTTATGTTTTGCCAAAATATAGCGCTAGATGTTATAGTGTCAAACTAACCGTTTTCTCATTCAAAACTTATGACTGGTGTTCTAAAATGTTCAATGAAAAATGGCAGCCGACGGAGCTTTCAAATACCTGGAGCTCAATCGCGCCAGTCACGGACACCGTGCGAAAAAAGGCCCCAGTTTCGCACTCAAATTTCTATAAAAGTACCTTAAATTTTGATGGATATAAAGGTTAGTTCTGAAACGTTGGCATCTGAATCGAACCGCTAGCCCTAAGTCTAGTAGCGAATGAGCCTTCTGCGATGAATAGTTAATTTCTTCATTCACGATAAGCCCTGTGAACGTGTTTTGGGCCACGCTGAATATGTATTTCGTTCACCATTCTCTTTGGGCCTCATGTGGAACCTCTGAGCAGCAGTA